AAAAAAAAAAAAAAAAAAAAAAAAAAATTTAAATGCCGTTAATTAGAGTTCGATAGATAGAGAGAGAGATGAATACGATAAAACCAACATCTGAAAGCCCGCCATCCACCTGTACCTGTTTGAACGTGTAGAAAGTGTCCTCCCGCATCGTCTCCACATGGCCTATGATGTGCGGCTTGTATGTGCACGGGTTGCAGAGCTCTGTTACTGGTGCCCAGTTTTCGTTAAACAACGGCATCGTGAAGTCAATGAACTCCCGGAAAGTCACGGACTTCGGACACTTCTGCTCCGAGCCGGCTGTCTTCATCTGCAGGGCGAGGGTGGTCCAGAAGTCGATGAGGTAAAATTTCTCCATGTAACTGCTCCAAAGTCGCTCTAACGGGTGTCTAACGAACAGCACCCTAAAAGATTTGTCTATTTCTGCTTTGTCCTCCGCTGTTTTCCAATGACGACGAGGGAGGTTGAAGTGGCTGGTGTAGCGTATGTCGTATTTTGAGATCTGGAAGGGGGACTTAAATCCTAGGTAAGCCAGTTCTTGCGGACTTTTGTTGAGGAAAGAGAAGACCTGCTCCCAGTATGTGCTGCCAGCTTTGGGCACTTTGCAGTAAGAGAGATTATATTTGGGCAAAAGGTACACGTCAGAGTCTACAACATTGGGCACTTTGAACTTGTCGCACTGTGCTTGAGTCTGGGCCAAACGCTGGGAGATCTCAGCAGTTGCTTTGGCGAGGTCCGGCAGAGGTTTCGGGGGTGGAGTTGGAGGGGGAGGAGGAGGCGGTGGAGGGGGAGGGGGTGCTGGAGCTGCAGGGGGTACGGGTGGTTTCGCTGCGCCTGGGACAAGTGCAGGGTTGTTTGCTGGCGCGGGGGCGTTGGCGGGGGCGGGTACAGGTGGGCGTGGTGTCACCGGGGAAGTCGGGGCTTTTGGGGCAGAGGCGACTGGTGCCACAGGGTTCTGAACTGTAGGACCAGAGAATTGTTTTACAAAGACATGGTATTACAAAGACATGATTTTTCTAAGACACAATATTACAAAGACATATTATTACTTTCATTTATTTTACTTTTTTGGTAATTGTTTTACGGCGCTCGCAACTCTATAAGCGCGCGGGACACATTAAACTTTTTCTGTTGGTAGGAAATTTTGAATTTTGCTGTGGTGGCGGCCGAAGCCTACTCTTATCGATTTTAGACCACCAAGGGATCTTTAACGAGCATAACTTGCATAAGGGACCTCCGAGTTTTTTTCGCCCTTGTCCGAGAAGACTAGGTGTGGATCTTTCCTACCAGAAGATCAGGGGTGTGGCTGAACGGCAGCAGTAAGAAGGAGTCAAGGAGTAGCAGTAGAAAGGCTGCAGAAAGAGACAGGAGCCCAGAGGAGGGGGCAAATGAGGGGAGGGGTGAGGGCAGAAGGTGGAGACGAAAGTAGACGACAGAACATTGCTGTAGAGCAGGAAAGGAGGTGAAAGGAGACAAGTTTAGAGAAGAAAATTACTCTATCGCAACCCGGATTCGAACCGGAACCTTTGAATGAGAGCAAACACCTTAACCACGACAGGCCCCAGACATAATGTTACAAAGCTATAATATTAAAAAGACATAGTATTACAAAGCCATAATATTACAAAGACATAATACTACAAAAACATAATATTACAAAAACATAATATTACAAAGACAATACTACAAACGCATAGTACTAAAAAGACACATCGAGTATTTCTTATTGGATAATAATGTACGACCAATTTCCCGCTATCTCAAATATACAGGGTGATAAAAAAACAACAACAACGACTGTACTACATTTTTTGTTAATATTTTCCTCGACACTGAAGTTTTGCTTTTCAAATTTTCCTTTCCTGTAGCTCTTAAGAGAGTACAATTTAGTAAAATAAACAGGAAACAAAGTAGCAACACTCTACCTCTTAGTTCCGTCTCATGAAGGCTGTATCTTTTCAACACACACACACACACACACACACACACACACACACACACACACACACACACACACACACACACACACACACACACACACACACACAAGCACACACATAGACACATACATACACAAACATACACACGCATACACACACTCATACGCGCACACACACACACACACACACACACACACACACACACACACACACACACACACACACACACGTACACCCCCCACCCCCCCTCACACACACACACACGAAAATGCACCCATACACACTGTTAGCACACGCACGCAAACAGACACAGCATTCACGTGTAAACACACTCTACACATTGCCCAACAGTCCATGAAACACATTCTCTCTATGAGCTCGTATAACCTCACATTCAGAGACCGTAGCACAAACGAACATACGTTTACGCACATTCTCTCTCTCTCTCTCTCTCTCTCTCTCTCTCTCTCTCTCTCTCTCTCTCTTCCCTTCTCTCTCTCTCACACACACATACATTCAAACACATACACACTCATATACACACATAAGCACATGCAATTATATGAAAGTAGCTGAAACATGTACGCGTTGTCTTTTTCAAAATCCCATCCTTTTTCTCTTTACGGAAAATCTGAATTGGGCTTGTCTTTTGACTTGCACGATCGGCTATTTTTGTCAAGTATCACTCGGGCAACGAAGTGTGTGCACATCTAATACAGCTTCGTAATATGCGAGGCGTATAACTCGGAAAAAATGCAAGGCTATTCCACGAGGTTAAGACGAATGGATGAACTCAGGATGCACTCAACTTCCAAATTTGGGCATTCGTGTCACGCCATGCCCTCGCTATTCGCATAGCGTTGCGTAGTATCGTACGTACGTTAAACCGCCCATTGGACATCGCTGTCAAGTGGGATGGATAATAATAACAATATGGGTGAAAACAACGTGAGCCATTCAATACAAGTACATGTATAAAAGTGCGGACGTTTATGGTGAGAATCATTGATCTGTCCAACTCGACATTACAACAGTTATCGTCTCTCAAGCCACACCACACTATAGCTATAATCTGCTGCTGGGGATTAAGCAACACAATAAGCAAGAGACTCTGCGTTGAAGTTTTAAATTCTTCCCTCTGAAGCAGAGACGTGAAAGTAAACCAACTACCGGAAATCAAAACAGCCAAAAAGCTAATCCGCAAAGCATCGAGATGTTGACGATAGTTTTCACCTTCCTCTTTGTTCAGGCAGCGTTCGTCCAGGCTCGAGTTGTAAATCGCGAGACTGTTGAAGACTGTAAGCAAAATCCAATTGAACTGGGCATCGTGCTGGATTCTTCAAGTTCAATTCGCCACACAGACTTCAAAAGGAGTCTCACGTTTCTCCAGGATTTCGTCGACCAGTACGAGATCGGGGATGGTCGCAATGATGTCAGGGTGTCTATTATCACTTTCGGCAAAGGTATCTACCAGCAGGATGCTTTTGATCTGATGACTTACCACAGCAAGGAGGCTGTGCTGGAAGCTATTGGCAAAGTCCCTCACAGAGCCGGCATTTACACCTCTACAGGCGAGGCCATTGAGTACATGAGCAAAACTCAGCTGTCTCGGAATGTGTCCCGACCTTACGCTAAACGTATCAGCGTTGTAATCACAGATGGGAACTCAAACAACTGGCGCCAAACCAAAGACATGGCCCAGGCCGCTCGCGACAGCGGCATCGTCATGTTTGCCGTGGGCGTGGGCAACGCTCGCCACCAGGAGCTGCTCAGAATCGCCGGCAGCGAGAGTCGAGTGGTCAAAGTGGACAACTACAACAAGCTGCGAGAGATCAAGAGGAGTCTGGCCTACAAGACCTGCACAGAGGGGGGGCAGACTACGACCACCACCACTACCACCACCACCACCACCACCAGTATCCCTCCTATGCCACTCATACAGAAATGTGGGTGTGGGGAAGAGAAGCCGGCCGATATCTACTTCGTCTTTAGCCCCACGGAGCTCGGCGTGGAGTTCACCTCATGGACCGCGTCCTTCATCTCCTCCATCGTCAGGCAGGACGAGATGGAGAAAGGCATCCGGTTCGGCGTCGTTTCAGGTTCCTCCCCTGACGATGAGGGATTCGACTTGGACGATTACACTAGTGCTGAAGATATTGATGCAAGACTGACCAATTATATGAAGCCTCACATGCCTGCTCTGATTGAAGGACTGTCCACTTTTGGCTACTCTGAGATCGCAGGTGGTCGGAGTGACGCCCGCAATGTGGCTGTTCTTGTGGTGAGTGGTGGGAAGACGAATAAGGGTCTGGGAACGGAAGTGAACAGACTGCAAGAGAAAGGCGTGCTGGTGTTCATAGTTGACCCTGCAGGTTCTGGGCTCCGTGTAGAGGGCGCCACCACAGTGACGGGGAACAGTGCCAAGGCAGCGTCCGTGAACTTCGTCACTCACCTGTGCTCCCCTCGAACGGGATAGGCACAAGGTCAACGTTCAAAATTAACATCTATATTATAATTAATTACCACGGCTTCTGGGTACTGACTGGAAGGGTTGGTACCAGTGTATATTTTGGACTCGTTCACAGCTCTTCCGTCCCGTGTGTCAGGTGTCATAAGTGGGTTTCTGACCACTAATATTACACACATATACTACACATATATTATCTACTATTACACACATATACGAAACACAAATTACATATGATCTAGACTTATACACATATCACACATTATCTAATATTTCACACGTATGCTATACACACATCACACGTTTTTCTAATATTTCACACATATACGACACATATCACATATCACCCAAGACCATCATCGCACCAAACTTTAACAGATCACGTCATCACGAGGAAAGAATCTCTAATTTGCTTTGTATATGCACGGATGTATGTTGTTATTTATTTTTTCCTGTACAGCAAACTAGTACGGACTCCTGTCTTTCAGCACAGCTCCTGTTCTTCATCTAAATCAATTTTATATTACATTTTTGTTATGCTGTTATTTGCTGGTGTATAACGAGGTATACATGTCCTGGACAGAAGGAAGAGTCTGTTCTCGAATGTCCTGCTAGGCTGAAGTAATAATATAATAATAATCATTGAAAGGTGCTGTATCAGTCAGAGATCAAGCTGACTGGCAGACTTTTTGCATTGATTCCATTTTGGTGGTCGTTTAGAGGTACGTTGTCTACAGGTTCAACGTTCTCTCTGCTCACTTCTTCCAATGGCTTTTCTTATCTTGTTAGTTATGAAAAGTGCATTTAACATCATTAGATTGTTCAAACCCTTTTAAGAGGAACCAAAGGTGTAAATACGCATTCTGACAAGTGTTTGTGTATTATATTATTTTTTATAGATCTGTGGTATTTGGATCTCAATCAATTCGTGAACCAAAGCACTGTGATAACTTTGGGTATCTCTGTGAGCTTGTATGAGTATTTATAACACACACACACAGAGAGAGAGAGAGAGAGAGAGAGAGAGAGAGAGAGAGAGAGAGAGAGAGA